TATAAAGCTGAAAGAGGCTGCAGAACTGAAAATATTAGTCTAGAGCCATCAGATGATTTACAACACTTTTTGACAGCACGACTAACTATTACTTCAGACTGAGTTTTAGACAAGGTTTGTTGTTTTCTAAACATAAGCTTATTGCACATTCAATCAAAAAGACAAGAAAAAGCAAGAACACTAAACTAGCTTTGCTGTTACAGTTTTTGCATTGCAAGATTAAACTAAAACCATATGAAACAGTTAATACATTCACTTACTGTTAAGAAGAACCCAACATTATTAACTACAGGAAAGTCTGTTAACACGTAAGTGGTTCCAATTACAGTAGTGTTTTCTTCCAATAAAAGGTAGATCTTGGTGTTTGCTAGGACTAAATTATAGAGTACTGCAGTCTGCCAACTCAAAAGTAGCAGCCAGCAAGTTTTTTCACTAACTCTGCTTTAATAAGCAGTATCCTAGCAAAAAAATTATTTACAGAGGACTTTTTTTTTTTGGGGGGGGGGGGGAACGACACAGACACGACACACATTTCAATGTCCAATTTCAAATGCTAATTAATTTTGTTGCTACAGGGTAAGAAGTGCTTGAGCACTTCCTAAAATCCAAATCCCAGTAGGTGCATCAAGCTGGCCATTCAAAAACAGCCAGCTCATTCCTAACTTCTGCAGGTTGAGACTTCAGTATGCAAATAAATCATTAACAGGCCCTGGTCATGGCCTCCATGTACCTATGAGCCAGAACACTGCTAATCATTAGTATAAGTTTTCAGAGAAACAACACGTGATTTACTTCCCTTCAAGAAAGGGCTGTTTTGGGATCTACAAAACCTACTTGCCTTAAGAGATTTCTGTAAGGAAGTGCACTCCTATGCATAGCTGGCATGACTCTTTACCACTGGTACGGAAAACCACATTAATTGCCTAAGCTGTCCTAAGAACAGCTGAATAGACCCGGCATTGTAGTGTTTGATTTAAAGATCTACTTTCCTAGCACTCCATTCCTTTAGTAAATGCTGAATC